ACAGACTCCTGCACAACAAAAGCTGTTTAAAATGGGTAATTGCAGCTTATTGTGCAAAAAAGCAGATATTTTATGCATGCACGCTACATTTAGGTGATGCTTTTCTTGTTTGCAGCCTCCCAGAATCAACAGAACTATTTTCTTTTGTGTGTTATTTCTGCTTTGCCAACATTAGGGTTGCTCCTTTCATGGCAATGAACCTTGTTTAAATTTGAATGTGAATTTGAATTTTAGAGGATAAATGAGAGGGGTGGGGGGAGAGAGGGGAAAAAAGTGCAGAGAGGGAGAGAGAGAGAGAGAGGGGGAGAGAAAGAGAGAGAGAGAGGTTGTCAGTTGCCTGTCTGTGTTTAATGGAGGTCCCTGGTGTCGCCCTCAGGCTCCTTTACTTCACAATTAATGGAGGATCTCTCCGGGGAGAGGCATGCTTCTCAATAACACCTACACACACACACACACACGCACACACACAGATACACACATACACACACACCTAGCAATAAACTCTGGTGCAGCTGAACTCTGCACCGGAGCAAACCTCAACGTGAGCCCCATTTCAGAGTTGGTGCTGCAGGTCCAAAGCAACCCTGGCTGCTGGTTTCTCCATCAAACCCTGAGTTCAGTGTGTTTTTGCCAGAAAAACCAGCAGCAGAACTGAGCTCCACACAGAGGGGGGATGGAGAGGGAGCTGTGGTGGTGGTGGAGAAACACTGCGCCGAGATGAGAGGAGGTAAAGGAGGCCTGGAAGGAAGCAGCGAAATGCGTTTTTCCTCAGAACTCAGGGTTGATTATATCTCTGCTCTGATCTGTCCGCTTTGGTTTTCCTCCCAGATCTGCGGCGGAGCAGCTCCCGGTGTGGCTCTGTGTGTGTGTGTGTGTGTGTGTGTGTGTGTGTGTGTGTGTGTGTGTGTGTGTGTGTGTGTGTGTGTACATGATTATGCGCTTGAACCATTCAGAATACTTTCATATGATAGTGTAATAACAAGACAGATGCTGTTGCAGGGTTAGTGGGCTACATTTTACCCAGAAATGCTTTTAGAACTCAAACTCCAGCTATTAGGGATGGTTGGTTTAAAGCAACTGGAGGCTGAAATAAACTTTGAGCAAACTGGAGGATATACGAACGCCTACAGATGTCATCTCTGTCACCCTGATTCATTAGACCGAGTTCGATTTCTTGACTCTGAAAACAACCCCTGAGGACTTTGAATCACGTCTCCACTCTGTCAGAAGACTCAAATATTGCCTAATGGTTAAAATTTTTGATAAAAAGACTGATGTCACTGTGAAAATTTTGACAAACTGTTTTACAGTCACCCACATTATGAGCCTGAGAGAGTTTCTGATACTAATAAAGATATGGGGCTTCATTATTGTGACTGCCAGTGGCCCAGCGCAGGGTGGTGCACCCCATGCAGTGGTATTTTAGTCTGGTGCACAGCCAGTGTTGTGGTAGACTAAGGCATGCCGAGATGCGCCAAGCTCGGTGTGACGGTGAAGTAGAGGAAGGTGTCATCAGAATCAGCTGGCGCGGTTACTTTTTCAAGCCCACCAGGGCATGGAAAGTGCGCTAAAAGCTTGCACGTGATGAAATCTTGCATGGCTCGACCTGAACATGTCTCTGTGTCCTCTCCCCATCCTGCTGCTTCTGCAGTGGCAAGGCTGACCAGATAATTTATTTTAGTGTTCAGATGTGTTGTTTCAAACATTTAAAACACAATTTAGCTAATGTTCTCACATTCTTAAAATTCTTTAAAAAATCAATCCAAAGTTAGGCACTCATGTGAATATTATTATATTCAGTTGCATAAGCCAAAATCATCTTATATGTCAACATTAATGAAAGAAAGAGCCAGGCCACAGAGTGGGATTCTTCCTTTACGCACAGGTGGTTCCGATTTTAATGCCATTACTGGAATTTGTTTATGTTGTCATCTGTGCACACAACCCACCTTTGTCACCTGGGGTTTAAATATATGCAACTTGATGTGAGCGTCTTTATTTGTGGAAAAGGTTGTTTGTCTTACCAGTGGGTCAAACCTTACACGTGCCAAATCCCTCTGTGCTTGTTTGCGAGAGTGTGGAGGACGCCCTGAGCAGAGCTTAGTGAGACACTTGTCAAGGGGCGCCATCCTGTCGCCGTCTTGTGGTGGTGCTGTCTTCATCTTTTCGACTACTTCAAGAAATTTGCAATATGCCTCGAAGTGGCAGATATAAAGGTGAGGAGAGGAGCTGATGTGATTGTTGAAAACAGGTCGGGGCTGTGTTAAACCCACTCCACGCCTTCTTCCCTCCCTCTTTCCTACTTGTGCTGCTGAGAGGAGCTGAGGGAGGGAGGGGGGCTACTTGCACTGGGCTGCACCGCTCACCAAAGTATTAAAGTGAGCTTGGGCATGCCTCATTGGTGCAGTGGACCTTACTTACACTGCACCTGCGCCACGCTGCCAGCAAGGCACAAAAATAGAGCCTGTTGAGTTAAAATCAAACACCAAGCCCAGGCTAAAAATGGATCTGCTGAAACGGCACAAAAACTGTGCTGATTTTACTCTAGAACTTGAAATAACTTATAATTTAATTAATTACTAGGCTTTTTTACTCTTTTGAACACTTGATCCTGATTGGTCGAAACCCCATGACACAGGTTTAGGATACTAAGAGCAACAAAATCATATCAAAGCAGTCTTTGCTTATCTTGTCTTTTACATGTGTACGTGGTATTTGTTTGACACCTACCCCCTCACACCTGTGGCAAGCATCAAAAGTGACAAAATTAAAATAGTCTTGTCACTGATTTATTTGTTTGCTTTGGAATCACATGAAAAGGCCTCAACACAAATTTCTGTTTATTTCATTATTATCAAAAAACACCTCTTAAAAGCTTTAACAATAGGAATATGTTTTTGTCATTACCCTCAATTATGTTGAGAGAGAGGAAAAAACCCTGGAAAGGTGGTGAAAAGCTGACCCATCTGACAAGAGGCAAGGAAACAGCAAGGAAGTTACCAAGGGATACAAAAACACACAAGGAGCTGCAAGGTGAAAAAGGCATCAACCAAATTAAAGAAAGCAGTATTGTGAAACAGCCTGGTCATGCACATCCTATCAAATCACAATATAATCATTATTATGATTATTATTATTAGAACACACTTGAACTGTGGAGCCTTTAAATCTGGTCTAAAAACCATGAAATCTGGTGTCATCTGTAATATTATTAAAGGTAAAGGTTTTTTTACGCCTTATTTAAGGTGAGCAGACGTCCCCGATTTCCAAGGACAGTTCCCGAATTGGATGACCTGTCCCCGGCAAAAGCTGTCCCCGAAAATGTCCCTGATTTAAGCATTTCATGAATGAGAACAAAAATGTTGCGTGTAGACTTGAACAACGGTTATCACAGTAGCCGAATGGGTAGGAAGCACAAGTAAGAAGTCCTTAACAACAGTTTTTACGGGAGTTATTACAAAGGGCATACGCTGCTACCAAATAATACCGAGATGTTGTCTGTAATCACACAGCCCCGAAGCCCCTGTACCACCCCCCCATAACACCCGCACCGAATGTCCTCGGATTTCATGACAGACATCTGGTCACCTTAGCCTTATTGTTTATGTCAAGATTTGATGCATTAATCAGAACCATATTGAGGATGCTTTTGACACCCTTCGATGCCATTTCCCGCCACTTCTCCCTGCCCTGCATGTTCAGTATTAATGGCATCCTCTGATTGGCTGAGCTGCCGTTGTTCACCTGGACACTGCTGCTTTTTTTTTCTCTCTCCTCTGTTTGCATATTCATCAGATGGCTCATGAATATTGATGAGCTGGCTGTGGGCGCAGTGGGCGCCCAGTGGCTGCAGGGCATTGTGGGAAATTAGCACCATCACTAATTGTGATCTGCCGCCCCTTGAGTGTGTCAATCAAAATCAGGAAGGATGATACTTTTGGGGGCACCTGTAGCTTCCAATATGTATGCAAGAAGTGATGGAGGAGAGATGGAGGGAGAGAGGAAGAGAGGATGTGTGTGTGTGTGCATGTCCAGGGCCACAAGACCACTGCGTTGCCATGGTTACCTGTACCATCAGAGCACACAAGGCTAAGGCCCCAGGATCTCAGAGAGAGTGATGGAGTGAGACAGAGAAATGGATGGAGCTATAGAAAATATCCATCTATCCATCTTTGTAACAAGGACAGACTTTTTTGCTTTAATGGAGACTCTTACTGTAATATTAAAGGAACAGTTCACGTGTTTATTAGTGGAGCTGTAAGAGGTACCTGCCAATCAAATCAAGTATGAACCACAGGAGTTGCCCATCAACTTGGCCCAGTACAACAGAACAAATCTGGTCTATCGACCCCTGCAGACATGGCACTCCAGCATTGATGTCAAATTATTAGTACTGTTGTCCTTGAAAAGATAGAAGTTAACAGTTGATCTCCATCACCTACCACTTCATATCAGGCATTACATCCTTTATTTTAGCCTGAATAGATTTGTCCTGTTGATGTTACTTCTCTGTAAATGCTTAACAGCACTCTCCTGATCCTAGACCAGATCTGAGACAGCATGCACTGATATCACACAAACTACTTATTGCATCAAAAGCACTAAATCCCACTTAAAAATAAATTTTCGTTCATGGATGGTGTTGTTCATCTTGCTTGTGGCCAAATAAAATAAGACTTTACAGTAACAACAAGCAACACAAAGCCAGGACAGCACGGGTCATGTCGGTAAGGATGTCAATTTAAATTGAATTGAATTTGCCTTCAGGAATAAATAAAGTTTTTCTTATTGTTAAGAGTCAAGTTATTCTTAACCCCACTCAAAACCTGTCTGTGCCCTTGGTTCAGAGCTACTTTCCTGTTTCTTTTCGTCATGATTATAGGACATTCAACTCAGTGAAGAGCTCTAATCTGTTTCACCACTGAATCATACTTAACACCCCACCCTGAATGTTTTGAACTGTCTTGTCATGTGGCGGTCATGTAGCAGGATTTCACTGAGGGGCCTTGAGAAAAAAAATAGGGTGCCAATGGCCATTCTGAGATTTTATGCAAATTTTCAGTAGTTTGGTGTACTTGTAAATGAAACTGTAGACCCAGCAGGGACTGAAGGAGTTCCAGTGAACTAGACTAGTTTCTCCTTCTTGTGTCATCTTGTGGTGTTGCTGTTTTCATCTCTTCAACTACATCATGAAATCTGCAATGCACTTCGCCCGTGGCGGATTTAAAGGTGAGGAGAGGAGCTGATGTGATGTGGTAAAAACAGGACTCAGCTGTGTTAAAAACCTCTGCACGCCTTATCCTCTCCTTCTTTTCTACTTGTGCCACTAGGAGGAGCTGTGTTAGGGAGAGGGCTACATGTGCCGGGCTACACCACTCACCAAAATGCAATGTGTGCTTGGACATGCCTCATCGGCGCGGCAGGAAAATAGAGCCCATGGAGTTAAAATCAAACACCAAGCCCAGGCTGATAACGGATCTGCCGAAACAGCACAAAAACTGAAGATTTAGCTCTGGAACTTGAAATTACTTACGATTTGATTAAATACTGGGCTTTTTTACTCTGTTAAACACTTGATCCTGATTGGTCAAAATCCCATGACACAAGTTTAGGATACTAAGAGCAAGAAAATCATATCACATGTCATATCAATATAACGTCCATTAGCCTCAGTAAACAACAAAGAGTATGTTTCCAGTACTACTTGCAGAGGGTGTTAAAATACTCAAGAAAGCAATAAAGACATCAATCAAATTAAAGAAAACAGTATGTGTTTTTATGCAAAGGACAAGTCAAATCAATCTACGTCAATCTGGGGCACTGTTCATGATTTTACCACTTCCTGTTGATAATGTGGCAGAATTAGTACTTTCTGATCTCATTGCCCCTGGTTTGTGTCACTTTTGGCTCCGCCCAGACAAAGCAGTCTTTGCTCATCTTGTCTAATAATCCAACTCCTCTCCTTTGTTCCACTTGTTCTGAACAATATTTTTCATTTCTAGGATTCACATTTTTGATAATGTTGACTTACAGTCACTGTGAGGAGTTTAACTGGTTTTGAAATAACTTACAGAGTGAAATACAATTACCATCAACAAGACTGAATGTTTGTGCCTGTTCTTGGTTTGGATTGTACTTCAGGATAGAGTTTCTTTTTAAATAGTGTTTTATTTCTTGTAATTAGCAGTACATATTATTCTAAACACAGAAACTCTGCAATCAAGGTTTTCCTAAGTAGAGAATTAAAATGGCAATGAACAAGTTGAAAGGTTAACCAGGGTTTCACTAGCAATGACCATGCCACAACGATATAAGTTTGAATATTTAATACAAGTTCAGGAATGTGTATATCTTGTCTGATGCGTGTATGTTGTGATGGATAATGACGTCGATGAGGAGTGTCGCATGTCTGGTTGGTCTGGGAGGTTCTGTAGAGGCCCGGCAGTGAGAGACTCAGGATGGGGGTTCCATCTCAGGCGTAGCTCTGCCCAAGCTTGGTCCGACCCCCAAAGAGTTATAATGAAAGGGCGCTTAATTGAGTGTGGGCCTGACGCAGATCGTGGAGATTATTTCGGATGTAGGAGAGGTATGCCTGAGATGACCATCGTCCAAGGGTTTGAATTGTTCGATCTGATATGCCAAGCCCGGCTGCTGTGGATGCTGCGCCGATGCAGAATGAATGGGCTGAGTAGTGCTCTGATATTATCCCTGACATGAGTAGGACTTGATGCAGGTGTTCATGGAACCAGAATCGTATCGCCATTTTTCCATTTTTGGTAAGGAAAAGAGGGTCGTGAGGTGATGCTTGAGCTGCATACCTGGAGCTGATGTATTTGGTGAGTGGTTCGAATGGACTGAGGCAGTAATTTAAGCGGAAGATGTAAATGGAAGTGTAAACTGCAATGTCTGATAGTTTGGGGTGATAGGATGGATTGAAGAAGGAGGAAGTCGGAGCGAATTTGGAGCATCAGAGGAAACCGAAGAAGGCGAGCAGGAACATTGATTCTAGTGTAGAATCAACCGTTGGAGATGAGTAGCCTGAACGTAGGGTACGAATGCAGAGGCTGAGTAAGTTGGAGGTGAGTGGTAGGCACTAGTGGGGAAAGTAGGTTCCTTTTTTCTTAAACCCTTGATCAGCATGGTGACGTGAGAGTAGGAGGTAGCGGTGCATTGAGAGCCAGTGATGAGTTTGAGGAAGAAATTGATGCCAGCGAGGTAAGTTTGAATGGTAGAGGATCGGATATTTTGGATGGTGTGGGCGCGAGTTATGAAATTGCAGATGGATACAATGTCCAGAGATGGGAAGGGCAGCTGGTATGCGGAGTGGTAGGACTTGAAGCAGTTCCAGCCTGTCAGGTAAGCAGATAGAGTGCTGGGAGCAAGACTGTTGAGAACTGCATCTTGTGAGTCATGAGTGAGGTTTAGTAGCTGGGGAGTTAATTGAACGTTGTGGCTGAAAACGGTGGGACTGGTGAGGGATGCGGATCGGACTCTGGGGCCAGATGTCTGAATTCCTGAAAGGAGAAGCGAGACAGAGCGTCAGCAATGGTGTTCTGGTATCCAGGAATAGGAGCTGCCCTGAGAATGAATTGATGAGGAGATGAGATTAGTGTGAGTCTGCGCAGAAACTGCATGATTGACGGGGAATAAGATCTGCCTTTGTTCAGGATTTCTACGACTGCTGTGTTATATCTGAGATGCTCCAGCCTTATTGCCCACCCCGACCCCTAAGATCAGCTGATCAACTGTTACTGACGGTCCCCAGTACTAGGCTGAAGCTCAGAGGGGACAGAGCATTTGCCGCTGCTGCCCCTAAGCTCTGGAATGAGTTGCCCTTGAAAATTAGGAAGGTCTCCTCATTTCCTGTTTTTAAATCTCTTTTAAAAATGCACTTTTACTCCTTGGCTTTTGATACATTATAGTGTTTTTTTTTTTTTTATCATCTTAGCACTTGCCGTGAGCCTGCTCATTTACATACTTATTTATTCTTTTGCATTAATGTATTTCTGCTCGCTTTATCTTGTTCTTTGATTGTTTTATTTGTTTTTATGTGTCATTGTACAGCACTTTGGCTACCCTTTTGGTTCTTTTAAATGTGCTATAGAAATAAAGTTGATTGATTGATTGATTGATTATCTGAGTGTATGAGTATAGATTTTCTTGACCATTCTTGCCCCCAAAGTAAGGCTGCAATGATGATGGGGTAGAGTTCATGAAGGGCTGATGAAGGAGATTGGGATTTCGAGTCAAGGGGCCTCATGTATCAACGCTTGCGGCGCAAGAAAACCTTGCGTACGCCAAAATCGGCGCACACGTCCAGATTTATCATCGCGAAACGAGCGTCGGTTCCAGCGCTAATCAACGCAAAGTCAGGAGGTGGTGTAGAAATTGGCGTTGAGCTGGATATTTGCGTTGACTGTGATTCGCACTTTGGCGACGCTGTGTGGTGACTCACTATGTGACAAGCGTCCACACATTGCAGTGGATTAATTGTTAATCCGACAGCTGTTCGTGTGTTAATTGTGTTAATTTGTAACACATTAACACAAACACGAACACCTGTCGGTATTACGGGAGGGGCTATAAAAGAGCGCATACAACAACACATACAGAAGACAACATTCAACAATGGCAGCACTTGCGCTGATCGAAGATATTTATAACCGTGCCATCCGACGTGAGCGTCATTTTATGGAGCGGGAGGACCTGCTCCAGAATACCGACGAATGGCTCATGAGCCGGTTCCGGCTACCGCGGGCCATCCTCCTGGAGCTGTGCGAGGAGCTCCGGCCGGCGCTGGAGCGATCAACGGCCAGAAGCCGAGCGGTGCCCGTGCCAACGCTGGTGCTGGGCACACTCGGCTTCTTGGCCACAGGATCCTTCCAGCGGGAGATGGCGGACCGTGCTGGGGTGAGCCAGTCCACCATCAGCCGGGCCATGCCTACAGTGGTGGACCAGCTGATCCGCCTCTCTAACAGGTATATTAAATTCCCCTACGGTGCGGTTGAACAGGCCAATATTAAAACGCAATTTGCAGCAATAGCCGGATTCCCAAACGTAATCGGAGCTATTGACTGCACTCATGTTGCCATAAAAGCGCCGTCCCTTGACGAGTACGCTTACGTCAACCGAAAAGGCGTTCACTCCATCAATGTGCAGATCATCTGTGATGCACAGATGAATCTGCTCAACATTGTTGCGAGGTGGCCCGGTTCAACGCACGACTCGCACATCATGTACAACAGCACTGTTGGGGAGAGGCTCCAGGCAGGTGCAGTTACAGACGGGTGGCTGCTGGGTGAGTAAATATGTAATGATATAATGTTATTCAAAAACTTGGCGTGCATCAGTGACTTGAACTAAATGTGTGCAACGCTGATATATTGTACTCTGCGTTTGATTGCGAGTACTCGATGGATGTTGTGGGTTATTGATTGCTTATTGCTTGCTATTATTACAACGCATCAAGCCCAAAACTTAACACACTGTGCTTTTTCTGAAGGTGACAGTGGCTACCCCCTCAGGACCTGGCTGATGACCCCTCTCCACAACCCCCACACTGACCGAGAGCGGAGGTACAACCATCTCCACTCTCGCTCTCGGTCAGTGGTGGAGAGGGCCATCGGCCAGTTAAAGGGTCGGTGGCGCTGTCTGGACCGGAGTGGCGGCGTGCTTCTTTATCGTCCGGAGAAGGTGTGCCGCATTGTGATGGCGTGTGGCGTCCTTCACAATGCGGCACAACTGCACCACATCCCCATGGCTGAGCAGCACGTCACCCCAAATGATGATCCAGCAGCAGACGGAGGGATGCGAGCTGATCCCTGCCGGGCCGCCGTCCTCGCGCGGGAGAATCTCATCGCCACAATGTGAATGGGTAAAAAGTGAATACACAGTTTAATGAGCCAAATTATTTTATTTTGTCCACCAGACGCTCAAGGACATTGACGAGGCGGTCCAGCCGCTCGTTGATCCCCGCGATCCCCCTAATTATTTGTTCCTGTGATTGCAGGACCGCCTCCGTGAGGACCCTTCCACTGCGTCCGGGTGGTCCAGCGGAAGCGCCGCGCCTGGTGGACGCTCCATCGCTTGTCGGCGCGCTGGTGCTGGTGCTGGTGCTGGGGCCGGGGGCGGCCCGAATGCCGCTGGTCCTGGCCGACGACTCCGAGCCGGCGGACGGGCTGCCGCGGGCCGGGGTTCCACAAGCCGGCGACACGGCCGACACATTGATTTCTGTGACACAATAAAAATATTTGTTCATTTCAATTCCTGCTTCTGTGTATCTGTTGCGTTTACATCTATGGCAAAGCATGTGGACATTTGTGTGACACGCTACTTACCCTCCAGCAGGCTGTCTGAGTCGCCGCGGGTAGCGGCGACAATCCCCCCACAGAGGCGCCCCCCATAATCGCCACCACCCGCTGCTCAAACGGCGTGAGGGTCTCCTCCCCCGGACCCCCACCTGTCTGGCCGGTACTCCTCCGGAGGGCAGCTGTACGCCGCTTGACCTCCACCTTGAGGTCCAACCACTTTTTTTTAATCTCCGCGGGGCAGCGTGTCTCTGAACCCACCGCGTTCACCCTCTGACAAACTTTCTCCCACTCCAAGCGTTTTCGTTTTGCACTGACGCCACTGGACAGGCTGCCAAACAAAACACGCTGTCGCTCCTCCACCTCCGCCACCAGCACCTCCACCTCGCACGCCGTAAATTTAGGTTTTCTTGTCATTTTGTCTGCGTGCGAGGACAGGGAGACCCTATTTAAATAAATCTGCATATTTATAGGAGGGCGTAACGGGGGCTGGCCCAGTCACTCCGACATCTGCGCTCAATTCCACGCTGATTGGGATGTATCAAGGAAACACACGTGGATTTCGGCGTCCGCACACATTGATACATACGGATTTTTTTCAGCGTTACGGACCTTGCGTGCGCTCGTTTCTGGTATGAGTTCCACGCAAGTGTTGATACATGAGGCCCAAGGTCTTTTAGTTCTGGAGGCCAGGTGGAAGCAAACCATCTCACCCTGTAGTAGCCTCCGAAACCTATGGAGGGAGCTGCGTCTGTGAACAGTTGAATGTCTTCTGATTGGGTTATGAAATCATCATAGAAGAAAGAAATGCTGTTCCAAGAGGACAAGAAATGTTGCAACATGTTCATCTCCATTTTGCATGCTTCATCCAATACCACTCTGTCATGCAAGGAGGGGACTGCTGCAGCTTTTGTTAGGAGATTAGAAAGGAAAGATTTTGCCTGAGGGATGATTCGGATGGCATAGTTGAGGTGACCAAGGAGGGCCAGTAACTGGCGTTTGGTTCATCTATCTGCTAGGAGATAGTTAGAGAGGAGAAGGGTGATGTGCTGTATCTTTTCTTGAGGTAGAGATGCTTGGAGGGAAACTGAATCTAGAGTAATACCTAAAAACTCCATTGAGGTGCTAGGCCCTGAAGTTTTTTCTTTTGAAAGAGGTACGCCCAACTCTGAAAAGCAGTCTGTAAGGGTGGTGAGTCCGAACTTGGGAGGGGATGATGGTGGAGTGACGATGAGGAAGTCATCTAGGAGGTGTAGAATGAATGGGAGTCTGTGATTGTTAGTGAGAATCCAGCACAGTGCTTCTGAGAGGGAGTCAAAGATCTTAGGGCTGCTTCTGCAACCGAAAGTGAGGCGCACTGCAAAGCAATAGGCTCCTTTCCAGCAGACACCGAAGTAGCACCAGAATTTGGGATGTATGGGTAGCACTTTAAATGCGCTTGTGATGTCTGCTTTGGAAAAGCCAAGCTCCGTGGCCTGCGAGACGGATGAGAGTGATGGCATGATCGATTGATGCCTATTGCATTGAGAAATCAGGGCATGGATTGATGCTGTTGATGCTGGGGATTTGTGAACCATGGAGGGAGGAGAGGTCTATGATCATCCTCTTTTTGCCGGAGTATTTTCGGGTGGCTGTGCCAATGGGGCTGACCCGAAACACGGGGAAAGGGGGTTCTTTAAATGGGCCTATCATGAATCTCTTTAACCTCTTTTGCTAGCAAGGAATCAACAGTGTTGGGTTCCTTGAGAGCAGACTGAAGGTTTTGGCAGGTATGTGAAGTGTCGGGGAGAATGTCTATGCCAGGATGAAAACTGTGAGTGAAGCCGTTAAGAAGGAAGTTGACACCCTCTCCACCTGTCTGGGTGATTATTTAGAGCTGCAGCTAGAGCGTTTACCTTATTGGGTGAGCTGAGGTGCTCTGCTAATCAGCTGGCGGGCGTAGTTGGGTTATGTGGGCAGGTACACCTAGCATGGGCACCCCCACAGAAGGAGCAGACGTGTCGGAAGCAACAGGTGGCGAGGGTGCAGCTGAGGTGGTTGAAGTTATTGAGAACCATCCTTCTGGCTTGGTACAGGATAGGCCCTTCCTCTCTTGTTGACTCTTTTTGGCATGGGAACATTGACAGTGCGTCGAATGTCTAGGGACTCTAGGGATGATTTGAGGTGGAGGTGCAGCAGGTGACAAGCTGTTAAAAGCTGTGGTGTTGTGAGAGAAGGATGAGCGTGGATAGGGTAGTGGGGCGCTGACGATGCATGCTGTGGCAGGATGGGAGAGGGCTCCGTATAGCTCACAAGAGAGGGAGGTGCGGGCGGCAAAGATTCGGCAATACGATTCACAGTCGAGTGTGCCCCAGTATGTGTTCTGATTGAACTGCTGGATGCAGCCAGCTGCCTGGTTAGCGAAGTGCACGTAGTAACTGTAAAAGCCTGTGCTGCCAAAACGCAGGGCCATGTCCCCCAGAGGGGGTTGAGAATAGCCAGTGTTGTGAATTGCAGGACGCGCAGGATTTACGGCTGCTGCAGCTGCAGTGTTTGTGGAGGAATTGTAGAGCAGGAATAGCCTTGCTTTATTGTCGTTGCGGTGGAATGGGATGCCTCTTGCTTTCAGGGACTGACAGAGGCGGGCGACGGTCCAGTTGCTGATGTTGTCCTCATTTCATGGGCACGGAGTCTGCCGTCTCAGCGAAGCTTCGCTGCGGCGCGTTGGAATGCCTGTGGTTGAGCGGTGAGAGCGACGTAATGGGGAGCGGAGTAGGTGATTGTAGCTCCTATGGTCTGCGGATCTTCTTGGTGAAGATGAGGCTGGCGATCTGTCGGGAGTCATTGGAATGATGTTCGGGGAGCGTGAATGTGTACAGTTAAATCAATTGTGCTTAATGTGACCTTTATCAAGTCATTTTTCATGTTTGACTAGTCAGCTTGTTGGAATTTTAACTTTCATCGAAATAAGAAATAAACAAGTTGTCTCAGATGATCCTTCAGCATCACAGCAAATGCACACTTTGGTGAGAGTTCTATCTTTACAAAGGATGAATGTGTTCATGGGAAATATGGTCTTCATCCCAGAAAAACACAACTGATTTCATCTAAAAGGGTGACCAGAATCAACACAACATAAAATCTCCTTTCAGAACCTCTGTGTAACCACAACACCCAATTTATTTATACACCAATTAAGCTCTGCAAGATCTTGTAAAAGCCTGTCTTTGAACTCCTCTATAACAAAGATGTGCAAACACAAGCCTCGGCGCAAAGTATCAAAAATAATACCTGCTCTCTTTGCTTTTTAAACATATCAATCAGTGCTCCTGCATGAAAGATGCACAGGAGTTCAGATGTGGGGCAGCATGCAGTTCTCATCTCGTCATAGACATGCAACAATAAACAATGCACTTTAACATGCATGTGATAAATAACCCTGCATGAATTAAAAGGCTATGAGGATAAGGATCCTGCCATGATATATTTATACCTTAAGTTCAGCTGTACTCGTCTTTGCAGTCTTTGTTGTAGCGTTGCATGTGAGGACTATTTACTCCTCAACTCAAATGCATCACATAGCCAGGATTGCGTCCTTAAAAACACGGATAAAAAAGATACACACATGCCAAGCGCTGAAAAAACAACATGACATGTGTTAAAGAAGTGCTAAAATAACCCACCATCTTGCATTTTTACCACTTGATGTGACGCTTTTCGACACATCTGCATGTATGTGTGTGTGTGTGTGTGTGTGTGTGTGTGTGTGTGTGTGTGTGTGTGCGTGTGTGTGTGTGTGTGTGTCCGTGTGTTTGGAGACAAAACACTCAGTGTTATTTCACCACCTCTCTCTTTCTGTCTTTTTTATTCCTGTTTGAGTGGAAGTTTCCAGAAGTGCGTCTTGATGAATTGCATGGCCCGCTGTTGGAAGTGCAAGATACAAGAGCGTATTGCAGGTGAGTGAAGTCATTAATATTTCCTCTGTATCAATATCACTGGTGGAATGGTGTGTTCGAGAAAGTGTGTGCGTGTGTGTGTGTGTGCTGCAGATTGACAGGTGGATGATCTCAGTGAGTAGCGCACCCTGGGATCGACTGCATAATCAGGGAGACAAAGGAGCAGAGGAAGAGACAGAAAGAGAGAGCGAGGAAAAGAGAGAGTGAGTATGTGAGTGAGAGAGAGAGGGTGAAAGGGAGAGAGAGTGGAAGAGAGAGAGAGAAAGAGAGAGAGGGATGAGAAAAGCAGAGAAGTGCAGAATAGTAAAATTCCCAGAGGGGTGAAGGGGTTGTGTGCTCTCGTCTCTGTTTATTTCCCTGCATTCGTTTGAAATGGGTCTATGTGTGTGTATGTGTGCGCTTCTCTTGGCCTGTGCGTGTGTGTGTGTGTGTGTGTGTGTGTGTGTGTGTGTGTGTGTGTGTGTGTGTGTGTGAGCGCGCATGAGTGTGTGCTGGTGTATGTAAACCATCATCCTCTGAGTGTTTGTGTGTGCGTGTGTGTGTGTTTGGCAGGTGTTTGATGGTTTGCAGCAGTAAATGGGTTCATTGTGAGAACAGCAAAGGTTCCACATCAGGAGACTTCCTTGGTAATTATACAGGAGCAGTCAAGTAACCACACACACACACACACACACACACACACACACACACACACCTCCTTATATTATTATTGTTGTTGTGGTGGTGTGTTTTCCGTGTTTGTCTTGCCATAAAGCAGCAGGTCTGTGATCTCAGGTGAATGCGTCTTCGCTGCTCTTGACACACGTGCTGGTTGTTACACAGTAAACAGGGTTTTTTTCTTACACCTGACGACTTAAGAAACCAGCGAGCGAGCTCACGGTCGACCAAAAGGCTCAAAGCTGGAGGAGTCTCCTCTAATTGACCAAGTCTGCTTTCAACTTCTGCAGCGTCTCTGCTCGGTTCAGGTGTTCTTGTTTCCCCTTCCTCCTTTTTGTCTCAGATCTGTGTGTATGTCGAGTTTGAGCTTCAGAAAAAGCATTAAAAGCTAAAACGACAACAAGAGGGGGTTAAGTTGGCAACAGGATAGAAATCAATATGGCTAATGGTGGCCTGTGAGGGACAAACTGGAAATCCTTGGTCTCTTAACCTCCAAGATTTCAACATAGGTATATACAGTATGTGCCAAGCCAGTCATCTGCAGCTACATGTTCACTGCGCTGATTCAATGCTGGTATTTATTTTCTCATGCAAAATGTTGAAATGCTGCTTTTGACACAGTTTAGTCCCTGATGTCTCTGGTTTTCTTAAGATTCTCAAAGAGGATCCCAAACAGAGAAATAGTAAACCAATCATTTCGGGAGCCGTGTCGTCTCCTGGTGCTGGTCCATTTTGCTTTATTAGGGTCATACACTCTTTAAAATGTTGTGTTAAAAACAACCCAATTTGGGTAGTTTCCCAACCCAGCGCTGGTTAAATATTGGACAGAACACATGCTGTGTTAATTTTACCCAACTAATTGGGTTGGTTCACTTAACCCAACAATTAGGTTGTTTATATTACCTATTGGGTTGTTCAATAACCCGACTAAGGGTTCACAGTAACTACTCTACTGGGTTCTTTAAACCCAGCATGTTGGGTTGTTAATATTTATTATAATATTAAATAACATTAACGCATCAGATTTCATATAGCACTTTATCAGAGACCCTAAAAGCACTTTTCATTGGATACATCATTCATTCGCTCACACAGGCACACCTTGGTGGTGGTAAACTACCTTAGTAGTCACAGCTGCCCTGGGGCAGACTGACGGAAACGTGGCTGCCAGATTGCACCTATGACCTCTCCGACCACCACCACACAACACTCACAATCATACACCAGTGGAGGACATACACTGGGAGAAAGGTGGGTTAAGTGTCTTGCTACAATGGACAGACCTGGGATATGGGGGAATCAATCCATCAACCTTCTGGTTATTGGGCAACCGCTCTACCTCCTGAGCTACTGCTGCCCCTTAACAGCTCCCTTTCCATTCTACTGATGGAGAATGAACTTTGGAGTTCGTAAACATTTGGCTGTTTTTTTTTTTTTTTTGTTTGTTTGTTTTTTTAATATGGGTTCCTTATCTTTTTAAAATTAACAATACAGAACAGGAGGTTGTATCTTGCATTCACTCCACGTCACAAAGTCTTCCACTGATTGTTCGTATCAACTTGAAGCATCGAGACAGAGAGTCCATTAAAGCAGTAGTTCAACATTTCTGACCACACCACACTACACCACATCAGAAGCCAAAGAATCCCACTGTGGCCATCTGTGAAAATTTCCATTTTATAGCAAAAACACAGGTCTACAGACCACATGCCTCATACCTGGTAAGTGAAACATAGAAGATAGAAGACAGTTTTCATGGGGCACAGCTGATGTTTTTAAGGGTATGAATGCAGGAAGAGGCCCATGGAGATAGTCTAGTACAGAGTCTAGAATGTCTTTGCAACTATCAACGAACAACCACATTATAATGTGGCTGTTAAATGTGCGGAGGTCTGTCCTTCAGGCCTGGCTCATCAGTTGTCTGGATTCAACAGCAGGGTCAAATGTTAGTTAAACTTCCCAGAACTTTCCTGCAGCATAATTCACTTTTTGTGAAACATTATTTCTTAACGTATTCTCTGTTTTTACTGCACTAATCATACTTTACATAGTTTGTTCACATTAGAGTGGTTGGAGTTCTTGTGATTTACTCATCGGCGAGTCTGGCTGACCTTCCCTGCAGTTCATTTGCGGGTCACGACCTCTGTTGTAGTTCGTTATCTGGCCCATTCTGTGGGAGGCTGGCACTGTAATAATGGAACAGACACGAGTTGTGCTTAAAGCCACATTTCCTCTAAAGTGTTCAGAGGACAGCGAGCATATGGGTGGACGTCTAAGAAGAGGACTGTGCTGAAGGGGTAGTTAGAGAAGTTTCTGTGGATGTCTTTAAAGGACAAGTTATTGTTTTTGGTAGATTTTCCAAGAATCTGGGTGAAAATTAATCAAGTAACCTTTGACATTTTTACCATCAGCTAATAGCAGAGCTCCAAATTGAATAATTGTATCGGGAAACTGTTACACAGACCTGGTTCATTTTAGCTTCACTAAAATCAAAACAAGCCAATAATACAGGACTCAAGCCTTGACCTTGTGCATCCCTTTCACAAAACATCAACTCAGTTTGACAAATTAAACTGCCAGTCAAGTTTCCTCTTACAGGCATCAGGTTAAAAATATGACACCAAAAATGACAAATATTTTCTTTAAATGAACAAACTGCCAAAGGGTATCTTTAAGCTACCTCCCACCACTTCCACCACCAAGGCTTGGAAGAAAAAAAGGTAATGCATTAATTATTTTATGTTTTTACCAAAAGAAGAGAAGAAATACTGTAAAATTTTACAGACTTTTATCTTACTTTTTATTTTACTGACTCTTATCCCTGCCGCCATAGGTCTTCTAAACAAGTAATTGTTTTTAG